TACAAGCAGCTCATGCAGCTCAACATTAAAAAAACAAACAACCCAATGCAAAAATGGACAGAAGACCTAAATAGACATTTCTCCAAAGAAGATATACAGATTGCCAACAGACACATGAAAGAATGCTCAACATCACTAATCATTAGAGAAATGCAAATCAAAACTACAATGAGGTATCACCTCACACCAGTCAGAATGGCCATCATCAAAAAATCTAGAAACAATAAATGCTGGAGAGGGTGTGGAGAAAAGGGAACCCTCTTGTGCTGCTGGTGGGAATGTAAATTGATACAGCCACTATGGAGAACAGTATGGAGGCTCCTTAAAAAACTAAAAATAGAACTCCCATATGACCCAGCAATCCCACTACTGGGCATATACCTTGAGAAAACCATAATTCAAAAAGAGTCATGTACCACAATGTTCATTGCAGCTCTATTTACAATATCCAGGACATGGAAGCAACCTAAGCGTGCATCAATAGATGAATGGATAAAGAAGGTGTGGCACATATATACAATGGAATACTACTCAGCCATAAAAAGAAACAACATTGAGTCATTTGTAGTGAGGTGGATGGACCTAGAGTCTGTCATACAAAATGAAGTAAGTCAGAAAGAGAAAAACAAATACCGTATGCTAACACATATATATGGAATCTAAAAAAAACAAAAATGGTTATGAAGAACCTAGGGGCAGGACAGGAATAAAGATGCAGATGTAGAGAATGGACCTGAGGACACGGGGAGGGGGAAGGGTAAGCTGGGATGAAGTGAGAGAGTGGCATTGACATATGTACACTACCAAATGTAAAACAGATAGCTAGTGGGAAGCAGCCGCATAGCACAGGGAGATCAGCTCGGTGCTTTGTGACCACCTAGAGGGGTGGGATAGGGAGGATGGGAGGGAGATGCAAGAGGGAGGAGATATGGGGATATGTGTATACGTAGAGCTGATTCACTTTGTTATAAAACAGAAACTAACATACGATTGTAAAGCAATTATACTCCAATAAAGATGTTAAAATTTTTTTTAAATAAAGTATTTAATAGGCTTGTGCCTATAGAATATTCCTGTGTACGTGTCAAATCACACATACTTGTGAATATTTTTAAAATTCTCCATAATGGGCTTTTTTCCTAACCTTTGGATTTCTCACTGGCTGGCCCAGTCCCTCACCCACAGGTGAGCATTTATTCTCTGCTTGATGACTGAATGAATCAAAGGGAAGTACAGTGAGTGGTCTCTGGTTCCAGGTTCGTGAAGCTGCAGGACAGGGAGCTACTGAGCTTGGAGGAACTGCAGAGGTTCCCTGGCCCAGAAAACAGAGGACTTTGTCCACTCTGACTCTTCTGTCAATAAGTGCTATGTGTCACCATTGTGCTAGTACTCGGGACTCCATGGCAAACAAAACAACTCTTGGCCATCAGGGAGCTGATAGGGTGTAATAAAGGTCTAGATCCCAGCTACTGGCCTAAAAAGTTCATTCCAAATTTTGCTTACCATACACTAAATGGGAGAGCATTAACTCTTTCCAGGGTCCAATCTGTGCCCAAACCAGATCTTGGCTCTGAATTCCCAGAAGAGGATGCTCAAGACCCGTCCAAGGAGGAAATCTCAGACATGTAGAGAACAGATGACTTCACTTTGGAAAGTCATCAAATACTGAGGTAGAAGGGACCTGACCCAGGTGTGCAGCCACAGACAGAACCAGGGCACCTGTGTGCACCTCCGTCCTCAGTGAGGCTGCTTGAACCATCAGGGATGAGACCTCTAGGTCCCAGCCTGCACTCTCACAATAATGCTAGAGGAAATGTAGCCAATGTTTAAAAATATGGAATGTGGGAACATGGGGTGAACTCAGAGAGCTAAGAGAGAACAGAGAGAAAGGCTTAAAGGGAATAAAAAGACAGTGGTTAGGTAAATTATGGCATATGCATACAAACATATACACATAGAATGTTGTTCATACTTTACTGTTAAATAAAGAGGTTCAAAACCAAATAAAGTATAATACCATCCTGTTTTTAAAATCTATATATGCATAGAAAAATGTCCATAAGGACATATATGACATTATAAATGAGGCCTATCTTAAGATATTAGGAATGTAGACAGCTATAATTTTCTTTTTCTAGTCTATACTTTGTATAATTTTGACTCACATAATGAACACCCTTAAACAGAAAAATCTTCCAACAATAAAAAGATATACATATAAATTATTGCATGATCACCCACTTGTCAACTATAATAAGAGTTGTCAAAATATGCAAGCACCAAAAAGGATCAGGGTGGGTGTCCTTTCCTCAGGGTCTTGTACCTTTCAGGACGGAACTCCTCAGGCTCTGGCCAGAGCTCTGGGTCATTGTGAAGAACGAAGAGTGGCACCACCACTGTTGTCCCTTTGGCAATGAACACTCCATTGACTTCCACATCCTTCTTACAGATCCTCTCAATTCTACCAGCAATTGGGAATATTCTGAGAGTTTCATTCAACACCATGTCAAGATACTCCATCTGTACCAGAGCCTCATAGGTGGGAGGCGCCTGGGAAGAGAAAACGAGATTTTGATAAATTAAGATTTCGGATCAACCTTCAACTCCATCTGTGTAGTCCTATTGAAATGTTAGGAGCTCCGGGGAATAATTTAAATTGGTAGAGGACCTTAGCATTTATAGACATTTTAATATCTATCATGTGCTTTGACCTGCTCAATGGCCCACAGAGGTGTGTAGAGTGGTTATGACTATGGGCAATGTTAGGACAATGCCCTAAACAGGGCCTGAAATCCCACACATTATCATCTAGTGTATTTTCTTTCTCATGAGAACAAACGTGACCAATAGACTACGACCCTTAGTCTTAAGTGAAATAGGCCAAAGTCACTGTTTCCTTTTGAAAGTGAGGCCACACATCTGTACCAAGGAAAGAAATGTATAAAAGAGCAAATCCCCTGTTCAACATAAAGGTTTTTAGTTGAAAACTCCTGACTGCTAATGCTTTTCATTATATATATAAAGTTTGGAATCACTATATTATATGAAAACTCTATAAATAATTTGGGGAGAAACGAGTTCCTTTCTAAACCAAATACAAAAACAAAGAGCAAGATTGGGTGCTACAAGGAACACAATTTCAGATCCAGGGAAAGTTACAAGAGGATGAGAACCCTACTCTCAGCCACAGCCTCTGTTGCTGGAACAGTCTCCTATGGTCCCTTCAGGGGTGACTGTTAAGGTCTGAAGGTCTAAACAAGCCACTGCAGCCCCAGAGGCCAGCTCTCCTCACACCACAAAGAATTCCACTCTTGGCAGAGATCTGAGACCAGTGAGGGTGACACGTGGCTGTCACGTGGGGTTATATTTAAGGGGCAACATTGTAGAGGGTGAGAGTTGGCTCAGGAGACAGACACCCTGGCACATAGGTTGGCGTTTTCACCACTAGGTACACGACTAGTATGTGAAAGTATTTCATCTCTCTGTCGCTCAGGTTTCTGAAACGTTACATGGAGATAATTAGAGTTGACACTTCATAGGCTTGTGTGGCAGACACACTCACTGCTCACCCAGTATCCACGTAGTCCCTGTATTTCCCAGCCCACTTGAAGTTACAGGAAACCAGCTTTGCCAATGGGCTGTGAACCGAGGCGATTATGTCAGTTCGGGGACAAATCATTTGAAAAGCCAGTGAGCAACGCTCGAGTCCCTTATTCCCCAGACAACAGGAAGTCCTCATGTTCCAGATAAGGTAGCTACAGGAAGGTGGAGCCTCTTAGCCTGTATCCCCGAGTAACGCTGTGGAGCAGAGCTGCCCTCTCCCATCCTCCACTAACAATCCATGTTGGTCATGTAGATGTGGGTTAGAAGTAAACCTCTGCTCTGTAAAGCCACTGAGATTTGAGGGCTAACCTGTTACTGAGGCATAACCTAGCTTCTCCTGACTTATACAGAATCTTATGAAGGTTAGATTCGTTTATAACTAGAAAGTACTTAGATAGACATATATCGTAAGAAGCAAATGTTAGCCAATAGTGTTGTTATTATAAGTATTATTATAAAAAGGGGAGGACACAATGCTTTAGCTAGCCTGTCTCTTAGTGACCTTTTCACCTTATTGCATCAAAAGAATCCCAATATGAGATTTACCAGAGAAGACAGATCATCTCTAACTTAGGTAGGCACTACAATCTATCCTTATCTTGTATTTGAAGGACTCAGGATTCTGAACGGTGATAAAACTTGTCTAAAAGCACAGCCAGGACTCAAACTCACGTCCTCTGTTTCCTACTTTAAGCCCTTTGTTGTTACAAGGCTCCTCCTAGTCTGCAGTGTACCCAGGGCGGTAGACTGAATTAATGGTCTCAGTTCTCCAGTCCTTCCTGGGTCCATGCCCTTTGTCATCTAACCCATTGGTGCCTCCCATTCTGACTCAGGTTGGCCAGGTGACTCACTCTGAACCAGTGGAAAGTTGGCTAAGTGTGGTGCTTGCAGAAATTTGAAAGTCACCCACATGATTGGGCTTCCTGCTCGTGCCATCTGCCATTGCCCTGAGAAGCAGACATGTGGAGTATGAGACATATGTGGAGCACGTGTGGAGCTGAGTCACCCTAACTGCATAGCCAAGGCCAGCCTACATCAGCCAACACCCAGGACCAAGGAAGTCCAGCCATATCAACAGATAACTAACTATGCAGACACTGGAGCAATAAATGCTTACTGTTAGATGCCACTGAGGTACTGTGATTTTTACATGGCATACTGTAATGTATGATATGCCAGTACCAGCATTTTTTCCACAGTACCTATATTCCTGTGTGTACCACACATAACTTATGTTTTCCCCTCTGTTTTGTACGCTTTAGATCCTTCCTAAATAGCACAGGTTAAAGATTTGAGGCTCATGCTTTCTGCAAATATATTCTAAGAAGTGATGAGGAGGCATTCTTGCTAAGGCTTCACCTTCCCCCTCTCTCTCCAGGTATCATCACTCACCTTATCGGGGAAAGTTGCATCAACCTCCTCCTGCAGCTTTTGTTGGACGTCAGGGTGAGTGGCCAATTCATATATAACGAAGGAAAGACAACTGCTAGTGGTCTCGTAGCCAGCAAAAATAAAGATGATACTTTGGGCCATGAGTTCTACGTCAGACAGAGCTAAAAGGAGAGGAGAGACATTTTAGATAAACCACATCAATATAAAACATCACAGCTTAGATGATGAGAAATCCAAATGAGACTGCCAAATCCCTAGCGGGAAAATGTAAAAGCAATTGAAAATTAAACTGGTAGTGCTTTGTGTTCTCATGTCTTCCTTAAAGAGCCAGGAAAAAGCAAGAATTGTCTGAATCCAACTTTCCCCAGTGCCTATACTCTCCTCAGCCCCTGCTGCTGACTACGCCACCTCCCTCACGGCACAGCTGGGTAATTTCAAGAGACAGCAATTTTGTCTTACTTACACAGTACTATTAGTATGTCCCTTGGAGAATCCTACAAGTGCTTTAGCTGTAATTAATATGGGGTAACATTCTCTTCCAGAATAATTTAAATTATTCTAGCTAAAGTAAAACTTGATTCTTTGGCAGATTTTACAAGACTAAGGCTATATTGTAGGGAAAATGAAGTTATCTTTTATCTAAACATGTTTGCGGGAACTTAAGAGAACAATATAAGGCTGTTTCTACTCAAAGTGTGTTGATGGACCTCGAGCATCACGAACATCTGGGAACTTATGAGAAATTCAGAGTCTTCACTCCTAAACTAGAACTACAGAATCAGAACTTTCACGATATGTGATGACTTGCGAGCAAAACCTGGCCTGAGAAGCATGGATTATACATTTGACAGGCATCAGGCAATGGAAGACCTGGGGCATAAGTCTTCTCTGGGGGATCTCACATATGTACAGAAACTACAGAGATTGACTAAAAGCTAAAAGAGTTGTGATTGACCCTAGTCTAATCAATGGCATTAAAGTAGAAGGAAGAATGTGTCCCTAGAAGGGTACTGGTCAGCACGCAATATAGAAAAATAGGGTCCAGGGAGTGGAATTAGCAATGCTTATTCAATCATGGCCTGAATGTCATCTTCTCAGTACACGCCCCCTCTCTTTGCTCTCCTTTAGCCTCACTAAACAGCCCATGTAATTATAAATAGGTCTCTCTGTAATTATAAATAGGACACCAAGCGTGATCAGGCTCTTATCTATTTGATGGGACAGAAGTAGGACCTTTAGTTACTTAGAGCGCTCAGATCAATGTTGTACCTGCCCCAACCAAGCAATTCACACACACACACACACACACACACACACACACACACACACACACACACACACACACAAACAATACAAAATGAGTGTGAAAAAGATCTACACATAGTTTTAGATATATTTATAGTGGTGTGCTGGCGTCAGCTCGTCCCTGCTCAAGAACAATTTTTTTAAAATTCAAGAATTTTGTGAGATGGTTGTCAAACCATTCATAGCTTGAAATTAACCACATGGGAGTATTCATGTCATGGAATAAACTAAAGATCAGGGCCTTCTTGTTTGAAAGAACAAGACTGTTTATATCACTGTTTATGGGTGATACAGAAATCCTTATGTTCATCAGTCTTGTAGAAATATATTTGATGTTCTTAACTTTGTCCATTGAGAGGATCTAGAAGCAAAGAAACCCTAGTAGCAATGAGCATTCCTAAGATCCCAGATTTTGATTTCTAAAAACCATTTCTCACTAAAGGGAACCAGAGTTCCTTGGGAAAAAATGGCTGATTCCAGGGCTACTCAGGGGAAATAAAAGAGAAACCTGGACTGTCTTACATCAGAAAGTGAGGAAGTTCCCAAAAAATGATAGATTAAAGAATACTGGATAATCTGTGTGCTGTGCTGGTGGATATAACTCATTATAAATTTGTTAAAAACCCATGGAATGTACAAAACCAAGAATGAACCCTAAGGTCAACTATAGACATTGGGTGATAATGTATTAATGTACGTTCATTGATTGTAACAAGTGCACAACTCTGGTATCATCTTTTGATAGTGGGGAAGCTGTGTGTAGTTGCGGTAGGATGTATATACTGGAAATCTCTGTACTTTCCACTCAATTTCGCTGTGAACCTAGCTGCTCTAAAAAATAGTCCGTTAAAAAAAAAAGATTTAAAAAGAAGAAAGAAGAAAAGAAAAGAGAATACAAGATCGCACTTGAAAAGCTCCAGTGGACAAAACTGAAAGAACCTGAAAATCAAAATGAAGAATGATGTAAGAGAGTAACTTAGTTATACATGAGATCATGCTGATATAAATAAACAAATAAATGATTGGGGGAGAATGGAGAGCTCTCCCTACAAAAGAACATCAATTCATAAATACAGAAGAATGATGGAATTAGAAAGTCATCATATTGCAACCACCACAGTAACAATGGTTTCAGTCAAAAACCATCCGTGGATGGTAAAACTAGTGGGTGACAATTTGAAGAGGAACACTATATT